AACATCAATGATGAGAGAGTCATTGATAGAGCCTGCAACCAGGGCATGTGCCCTGACCGGGAATAGAAACCCGATCGCCTGGCTCCCAGGTTGAAGCTCAACTGCTGAGCCACGCCCAGCCGGGCTGGATTCTTTTTTCTTTTTGCTCTTCTGGTTGGGTGTTTTTTGTTTCCTCATGTTCCAAATTGCTGATTTGATTCTCAGCGTCCTCTACTGTTGAGTCCCTGTAAATTATTCTTTAGTTCAGTTCTTGTAGCCTTCATTTCAAATTGGTACTTTATTATGTCATTGATGGTCTCAGTTGTCTTTGTAATACTCGTACTAATATGCTTGAGCATCCTTATAAACAAAATTTTGAACTCTGTATCTCTTAGCTTGCTTGGTTCTATTTCATTTAGTTCCTCCTCTAGAAATTTCTTCTGTTCTTTCCTTTGTGACATGTTTCTTTGCTTCCACATTTTGGCTGCTTCCAGGTGTTTGTTTCTATGTATTAGGTAGAGCTGCTATGTCTCCTGGAATATGTAGAGTGGCTTTGTGTAGTAGGTGTCCTGGAGGTCCAGTGGCTCAGCCTCCCCAGTCACCTGAGCTGGGCCTTCCAGGTGCTCCCCTGTGTGGGCTGTGTGCACTGTCCTGTTGTAGTTGAGTCTTTGTTGCTGTTGGCGTCACTGGGAGGAACTGATCCCCAGGCCAGTCGGCTGTGAGGACCAGCTACAACTATAGCCAAAGACCTGCTGTGCTGGAGACACCCCTATGGATCAGGATTTACTTCAGTGGAGCTTTGGTGTTCACCAAGTGCACCCCTTGAGTGTCACTCCTGGATGTGGTAGGGTTGTAATCCCGCCTGGTCGAGTCTGACCACCAGGTGCACTGTCTCTGGGGCCTCCCTGGAGATGCCAAGTCAGCCTGTGCCAGTGCCTTGCTCAGGGCCACCCAGCATTAGCTACACAGCAAACCGTAGTTGGCTGCTACTTGTGTTGGGCTTGGAGGTGTCCAGGAGAGGCCAAGCTATGAAACAATGCAGGTTGCCACTAGTGCCAGGCCTGGGGCTGCTTATCAAGCCATGTGGGGCAAGCTGCTGCTTGTTTGAGAGATTTTAGTAAAATCCTAAGCATGAGGCTTGAGAAGCCACTTGCACAGAAAAGCCCCTGGAAATGGCCTGGATGAGCTGCAGGTGGGGAGGGGTGGGGCCTCCGGTAATCACGGGGCGGGGCCAAAGGTGTGAGTCAGGTGCTAGATATTCAGAGAAGGAGCCTGCCTGCCGGCTGTGTGTGGGGAGGACTCGCCTAAGGAGCCATGGCCTCCTCCAGCTCTTCTGCCCCGGAGAAAGCTGCTCCTCTAACTCTGGTCCTGATTTTAGGCAGGTTAGTTCCTCCCCAAATGTCTCTCGTCCTTTCCAGCTGCTGCCCAGCGCTGGGCTCAGAGGGAGCGTCCGAGTGAGTCCATGCGCGGCCCTTTAGAGGAGCTGCTGGGGCTCCCGCAGCCTCCGGGACCCTCAGCCACAGTCCCCGCTGGTTTTCACAGTCCCCCAGTGGGGACGTCTCTCCTCGGCCCTTGGACCCTGGGCTGCGGGCCTGCTGTGGGGCTGGGACCCCTCGCTGCTCCTGGAAACCTCCACCCCGAGATTCCCTCCCGGGTTTAACTGCGGCAGCCGGGGTGGGTCCGCGGCCGCGTCTCTGGGATTCAGCCCCGACCCGCCGCGTCTCCGCCCCTCCTGCCGGTCTCGCTCTCGGTGCTGCTTCAGCTCCCTGGTTGTGGGGCTTCTGTGCAGCCAGCTCTCAGGAGGCCCTGAGTGACGGTGGTTCTGTGTTTTAGTTGTGATTTTGATGTGGTTGCGGGAGGCGGCGGGTGCAGCTGTGACCTATGCCCGCCAGCTTGTTTCCCAATCTCTTGATTAGATTTTTAAAATGACTACTTAGAAAACTATACATGTGGCCTATGATAATTTGAGCTACATTTTATTCATGTACTCAAAGCAGCAAGTAAATAAATGCGCTTTTGCGTTTATTTGTAGAAGATAGCAACATCCTAGATGTAACGTATCCGTTGCGGGCCGCTGAAAGGAGAGGGCTCTTACGAGGGAGGAGGTCCTCAGGGGTAGGTCAACTGGAGTCAGAGTATATGCTTTTAAAAGTAGAAGTGCCAGAAAAACCTACTTAATTGTGGACATTAGAAAACAAAATTAAGATAACCTGAAAATAAATGCTAGAACAGCTGTCATTGTCGTGGGAGCTGTCAGATGTCTGTGACCCCCTTTTTCATTCTTCATAGGGATGGAAGATTGAAAGAAACTGATCAGATCCTTGCTATCAATGGACAGGCACTTGATCAGACGATTACACATCAGCAGGCCATCAGCATCCTGCAGAAAGCCAAAGATAACGTCCAGCTAGTTATTGCCAGAGGCTCGTTGCCTCAGCTCGCCAGCCCCATAGTTTCCCGCTCCCCGTCTGCAGCCAGCACCATCTCAGCTCACTCTAATCCGGTGAGTATGTAGGATTGCCACAGGGAACAGAACATATTTTTCTATTTCTCTTTTATTTCTTTTACAGGTTTCTAGACGACTCTTGTACATTTTCCTTAGGTTCTTTGTATTCCTTGGGCTTTTGCCTTTTTGTTCCTTTATCTCTCCCTAGCCAGGAATATTTGTTATTTAATTATGATTAAGTTTCTGGCTTCCAAAATATTTTTTACCATTTGTGTGTAGTTTCTTTTTTATTTCACAACATCCCTAAAATGAAAAAGGAAAAAAAAAATTAGTCCTATAACAAAATTGACTCTGTCTGTAGACAGATAAAATCTTGATGTTGCTTTGTAAATTATAGATTATACTGTTACTAATAGCTGCTGATGACTTAAGAAGTCATCTGATTTGGAATCCTGAAAGGCAGGATTATGCAGAAAACATTTTTAGTAGGCAAAAGTTTTTTCCTTCATCTTTTTCTTTTTTGGAAAGTTCTACAACGTATCTCTCAAATCCTGGTTAAATGTGGTCACTATGATGATGTATTGATAATTTCAAGAATGATTATGCAGTAACAATCTGTTGAAGGGGAAGTGTACTAAATAAAAGTAACATTACTTAAGGCTCATTTTTATGTTTGAACTCAATTATTTCGTACTACTCACAAAATAATTTTCACAGATATCTCAACTGTAATCTCAACTGACACTTTCGTTTTCCCTAAACATTTTCAAATGCTTATAGGAGCTTTGTTTTCAGGTTCACTGGCAGCATGTGGAAACTATTGAATTGGTGAATGATGGATCTGGTCTGGGGTTTGGCATTGTAGGAGGAAAAGCAACCGGTGTGATAGTGAAAACTATTCTGCCTGGAGGAGTCGCTGATCAGGTAAGCGACTACCAACAGGTCTTTCAGGCTGTTTTATCAAATACCATTGCTTCATCTTTTACATTATCTGCCAGAAAGAAGAAACTTTGGCCTTAGATAATATCAAAGAAACTGAGGTAGAATCTTCTGTTTTGCTGGACTGTCCCTAAAGCGTTTTCTTGGACCTGGGGAGAAATACCTTTGAAAGAGGAACATTGATCTTAAGTTAAAGTAGTAGACCACAGACTAAAGCCTAGGTTATGGTTTTGGTCATTGTAGAGATAGCAGTCCTTTATTTTAGGGACTGCTAAATCGTATATTTTATGATCATAAATCAATTTATCAACCTAGTCAAATGTTTTATGGCCAAAGGATATTACAAACAATAAAATATTTTATTATACTAGGAAAAAAACAAGATTCATCTTGTCCCTTTAGTGATGGGTCATTGGTATCATCTTTGTATATGAAGCACAGAATTAAAGAATTGCCATTTAGCTCAGCTGGCATGGCTCATCGACTTACGATACAGGAGATCATTGCTCGATTCCCGCTCAGGGCACATGCCCCAGTTGTGGCCTCAATCCCCACATCCCCAAAGTGAGGCATGTAGGAGGCAGCGATGAATGATTCTCTCTCATCATCGATGTTTCTGTCTTTCTCTCTCCCTCCCTCTCCTTTTCTCTTTCTGAAATCAGTAAAAAAAAAAAAAAAAAGCCATTTATGCTGTGAGACATGTTGGACTATATGTAAGAAAACTGTACTTGTTATGATTTAGATTTTAATTAAATAAGTTCTGCTAATGTAGGTATCTTTTGCCTTGATTATAACATTTTGTTTATAAAGGTGTTTGCTTTTGCATGTGTATTTGAACTTACTTAGGAGTCAGGCTCGTCAAATACTTGTCATGCTCATAAGTGGAAGATTGATTGGCAGCCTTATCAATGGGGGTATTGACAGTAACAATAGTTTGCAAATTTTCTTTCTTTTAAATATTAGCCAGTATCTAGCAGTATCCAGTGAGATTCCCCTAGTTGACAGGCTTATGATAAATAAGATTTATTTTCAGTACAGAACTGTACTATCTAAATACCGTGGGTACTTGCCACATATCACCTTTTAATTCAGATTTAAATTAAAATAAAATTACAAATTCAGTTTCTCAGTTGGACTATTCCCATTTCACATGCTCTGTAGCCACACGTTGCTTGTAGCTGCCGTATTGGACAATACAGAACATTTTCATCATTGGGAAAAACTCTAGTGACCACTGTTTGTATAGAGGCTTGTAAGACTGCTTTTCACTCCCCTCATCTGTCTGAATTCTTTTCTGACCATGATACCATCTGCATATGACTTCTTTAGAGAGATTTATAATTTAAATGGCAAGGCAGAAAATTGTATTAATTCATTACTTTCTTGTGGTTCATACCATATTTTGAGTAATATGTATTTTTATAGTGACTTATTCTATATCTTTGCATAGTAGCATTTTCTCCTTCTGTCCTCCAAAAAATTCACAAAAAGGCCTAATATTTTCTTGCATCTAGTGGGTAGAAATCAAATTGATAAGCTCATATCAATTTAAGGAATATTTGTGAAGTTGTTACCTATACCACATTAAGTGATGCTCGGCTTCTTTAAAAGTCAGTTAAAATTACAAGCACATGTGTAATGTCCCATGATTGATATTTTATATCATTGCTTTGTTTTTATTATTCCCTTGCCCTCATTTAGGATTCCTCTGATGAAGGTAATCATAATAAAGCCTGATAAATCAATCTTTTTTTATTCAGCACGGGCGATTGTGCAGTGGAGACCACATTCTAAAGATTGGTGACACAGATCTGGCAGGAATGAGCAGTGAGCAAGTAGCACAAGTCCTCAGGCAATGTGGAAATAGAGTTAAACTGATGATTGCTAGAGGCGCCCTGGAAGAACCTGCAGCACCCACCTCGCTGGGCGTCACTGTGGCCTCATCGCCATCCTCTACGCCAGAGATGCGGGTAAGTAGGTAAAACTGGGGCAAGTCATGGGCAGTAGCACTTACATGACAGGTTGTTTATTTTGAAAGTAGATTTAGTAATGTTTATACAGTAGTGATAAAAAATGAAACAAAATTCAAAAGTAGAGATGTATTGGCACAAGTGATATGTTACATCTGTTACATTAAGTGTAACATGAAAAATGGATTGCTTAAAAAATTCTAGATGACTACTTTATGTTTTTCTCTAAACAGCACATTTATGAGGATAATATTTTGCAGTATGGAAACGTCTTAAAGAATTACTTGCTACTAACGCCTAAAATGTTTAATTCTTTCTCTTAGAAGCCCCTTGGTAAGGTGGGCTATAAATGCTTATCTTTCCCTTACAACTTTCATTTTAGTATCTCTTTTAGGGGGTGGGGGCATGGTGGTGAATAAAACTTACTAAAACCTTTTAATATTATTATTTTAAGATATGTCATACAACTGTTATAAGATCTGTAATGAGATGTCACCAGTTATTACACATTTTTAAAAGTTATGCTTTTGAGGTTGTAACAAAAGCTTTATGCATGTGCATGGCCTTCCATCTATGTTTGTAACTTGATATGAAAAAACCTAGGAAATTTCAGAATTATTAGAATGTAGTGGTTATCTCAAATATTTTGGGTCACAAGATGACTATAGTGGATAAAATATCAACAAAATAATTTATCTAGAAATCTCTTAGGTATTTAAGAAGAGAATCACACTCAATTTTTAGATTAGCTTTTAGCAAATGTAAGTCCTGCATTTCTTTCCCATAAGTCTAAAAACATCTTTATGACTTTTTTCTATTGAAGTTTTTTCTAACTAGTTAATTCAAATTCTTTTTTTAGTATCCTAACCCCCTCCACAAGCCCTTTGAAACTATTAGAACACTTGAAATTTCCATGATTCTGTTGTTTTCAGGATTGAGTTTGGTTGCTATTTTTTGCAGAGAACGAAGTAAAGAAAGAAAGCTTGTTTATGAAAGTATTTAAGTGGCATTCTTTTGTGGTAAACAAAAACATTTTATTCAGCATATATAAATGAATGCAATACCGAAAACCACTTGATGTAATTGAAAGCTTGGAAAAATATCTATTCTGTGCATATCATCATTTCTGAAGCCTGTGCCCCTTTTAAAACCATTCGATAGTCAAATTGCCACCCTCTAAAATAGCACTCGCATAAGTCTTATTAAAAATAGAAAACACATTTGTTTCAATTGAAGCAGATTTCATCCTGTCATTTTCTTGTAATTATCTAAACTTTAAACTTTTTGCTAAGTTTGCACAGATAATTATGTGCAGTGAGAAAAACTAAATGAAACTTTACAATAAAATTATATCTCATTTAGGTGGACTGTCAGTGAAATAGAGTCCAGTTTACCTAAAATCAGAAAACATCACCTGCTAGCCCCAACCAACCAACATGTCCTTTCCAACCCATAGCCTTCATTCTATTGTGATCTTCTTAGGGTTCTCTGTGGATTCTACTGACACCACGTTAGTATATAATGCCAGTAGCTTACTGAGAATTTACTGTACTAGTCCACTAATGCTTAATTCAGAGACCCTTGCCCTTGAGGCCAATATATAATTAATAACAATGCTGCATGTTAGAGAAACCTACTTTCAGCTATCATTGCAGGAATAAAGGAAATCATAGTGAAAGGCATACTTATAAGTAGCTTTTTAAATTAAAGTATTTACAAAACACATACAAGGGCCATTTTAAATAGCTCATTGGTGCATTTCACTGGTTTTTTAAAATAGTCATCAGTGTATTAATAATATGTCTGAAAGATAGATGAAGTCATATTCTGGGTGTTACAGTCCACGATCAACTTACGATAGTAATACCAGCAACATGTCCTGAGTGGGCACCATGACCCCTGCATTCCACTAGGGACCTTACATGCTGCTTAGCATTTGAATTCTGCCTCTACTAGTATTCTTATTGTTGTCCTTGAAAAAAAGTTTGTTCCTCAGTTTCCCCAAAGAAAAATTGACAGTAATTGTGCCTACCTCGTAGGCCTGTTCTAAGGAGTAAGTGAATTAAGACATGTCAACTGCCTGTTACACAGAAACTGCTCAGTAAGTGTTAGCTGGACTTGTCATCTTTATTCCCGATAGACAGTTGAACAGCACGATGCTTAGAAAAATTAGTGGCAAATCTAGAATTGGAACTTGATCTGAATTCAAAACATGAGTTCTTTCAACCTCCAAACTGCTTCAGAAATGCAGATGAGCATCTTGGAAAATAGACTTTGTTAATAAGAAATTATTTGATTTTTAAAGTTTTGTGTACACAAACAATAATTATTTCTCTGATAAGGGTATGTGTTCAGCTTTACTGCTGACATTCCCTTTTAGTACAGATTTGGTGCTCAGTGCATGTTATCAAGATTGAAGAAGTATTCTCTACTATAGCCCTTGAGCAGAGTTCTCTGGCACCCAATTACATCTTGTGCCTAAATAAAGGTTTTGGCTTTTTCAGCTCATCTTGTTTGTTTACATGTTTATTTTTCTGTATATTTATGTATCCATTTTATTTTAGATTGATGCCTCTACTCAGAAAAGTGAAGAAAGTGAGACCTTTGATGTAGAGCTCACTAAAAATGTCCAAGGATTAGGAATTACCATTGCCGGTTACATTGGAGATAAAAAACTAGGTAGTGTTCAACATTAATATTTTATTTTTTAACTTGACAGTTGCCTCTAATATAATTATCTTATGAGATGCTGAATCTGATTTATATATTTTTATATTATTGGATAAAGTCAAAACTTTTCTAGGAACAATTTAATGGATATGATTCTGATTTTTGTATTTAAGAGACAAAACCATTGTCCTATTCTCTAGCCTGTGTTTCTACTCCTGGTTTTGTTTGTGTGGCTTATTGATTTATATTTGTTCAAAAGTAGGACTTTGTATTTGGATACTAGAGGATATTATTCATTTGAGTGATTTTTGTAAATAGTAAAAATAAAACTATTTCCAATCTTAGAACCTTCAGGAATCTTTGTAAAAAGTATTACAAAGAGCAGTGCTGTGGATCATGATGGAAGAATCCAAATTGGAGACCAGATTATAGCAGTAAGTAACACGTTTCATTTTACTTTGTTAATTTTCGTGGTTGAGAAATGCATTCTCCTAGTCTACTCAGTTTTGAATTCAATACTAATTTAAGCTCAGTACTAATCTAAGCTTGCTTTGTTAATTTGAGGCTGTCATTGCAATTACCAATTTTATTATTTTGTGGAATTAAGAGCATTCAATAGAATCTTTACTAATTTCAGTTCTAAAGGTAGGTTTTCATTCTTGGATAATTTCTGATATATCTGATTTCTGGTTGTAGCTTTAATATTATGCTTTATAGTGACATTAATAGCATAGTTACACTTTAGATGTAGACACCACAGGTAAAGACCAGATGCCATAACCTCTAGTTTACTTGAATCTGAATTTGGAATGTGTCTATTTTCTTTCTTATGTTAGCATACTCTATGACCAGGGCTACTTTTAGCTCTAAGACTATACAAGCATAAAGATCCAGCCTCTCTAATTACATCAGGCCAATGTTGTTATTGTCATAACATCAGTATGTTTTAAACATGTGGCTGTTCAAGACAGTGTACAAAAGAATCTGACTTTCAGTTCAGTGTTCAGTGGAATTGGGACTATCTAACTCCTTCTTAGAACACAAATCCAAAAGATCCTGGACCACGGGCTTCCTGGTTAAATAACTTCAGAAAAAACTATAGGTGATATATTCTCTTAGGGATCCACCGTGCACATTGAAAAATCAAAGACTGAGAAGTTCTGCAGTGGAGAAACTTGTTTAACTCTTCTGCTTAAGTGTTTCCTAAACTTTTGTAATCATGGGGTCTGTCTATCTTCAAACACATATTAACAGTCTTTGGAAGACAGTGTGCAGAATGTCAGTTTATCTTAATATGTGTTTGCTTAGGATTAATTTTCTGTGGTTTCATTGATGTATTAATAATAGTAAGAAAGTAGAACGTTAAGGTAGAAGAGCCCTTGTTCGTAGCAGCATTATCCACAGTAGCTAAGATGAGGAAGCGACTCGGGTGTCCATCGACAGATGAATGGATAAACACAATGCGATATACATACAATGGGAAATTATTTAGTGATATAAAGAAGGAAATTCTGTCACATCCTACAACATCGATGAACCTTGAGGACATTATGCTAAGTAAAATAAGCCAGTCATAGAAGGACAAGTACTGTATGATTCCACTTTCATGAAGTGCCTAGAGCAGTCAAACCCACAGAGGCAGAAAGGAGGGTGGTTATTGTGAGGGGCTGGCTGGAGCTGTTGCTTAATGGGTGCAGAGTTTCACCTTAAAAGGTGAAAACACCTGAAGATCTATTGTATGACAGTGTGAATATACTTAACACTCCTCAACTGTACAGTTAGAAATGGTTAAGATGGTAAATTTTATGTTATGTGTTTTCTACCACAGTTTAACAGAAAAGGTAGAGGTATCCTTTATCTCTGCCATTTGCTTCTGCATTGCAACTCCCTGAGTTCTTGGACTTAGTTCTATAAAGCTCCTAACTATACTTGTTCATGTCTAAATCTACTATCAAGATCAAATTGTGCTTGCCACCTGCACTGGCTGTCTCCTGGAAATGAGCTTTCCCATGGTATCTCCATTTTAACATACAATGAAAATTAACTACTTTAAGTTTTTTATTTTGGAGGAAAGGAAGGGAGACTGAATAGATACAGACTCCAAATCTATATTTGATACTGAATTAAAACTTGGAAACAAGTTTTTTCCCCTAAGCTGTATACTTCAATTCATTAGAAAGCTTTTTAAAATTCACTGTATCCAGATATAATTCACATAATCTTCAATTTATCCATTTAAAGTGTATAACTCAGTAGTTTTTGTATATTCACAGTTGTGCATCAATTATCACCATCAATTCTAGAACATTTTCACTAACCTGAAAAGAAACCCCACATACATTAGCAGTTACTCCCTAACTCCCCCTTCCTCCCAACCCTAGACAACCACAGATCTAGTTTCTGTATAGATTTGCTTATTCTGGACATTGCATGTAAATGGAATCATACAATAAATGGTCATTTGTGATGCTTCTCTTGCTTAGCATAATGTTTTCACTGTACAGCTGTGTTGTAGCATGTAAAAGAAATTGTTCATTTTATTGCCGAATGATATTCCATCGCGTGGGTATATTACACTTCATTAATCCATTCATCAGTTGATGAACATTTGGGGTGTTTCCACTTTTTGGTGGATAATCCCTCTATGAGCTTTCATGTACAAGTTTTTGTATAGATATATATTTTCATTTCTCCGGTATATACTTAGGAGTGGAATTGCTGCATCATATGATAACTTTATGCTTAAGTGTTTAGCAAGCTCCTTTCACCTACAAAATTGGGACAAGGAAATGTTCCTTTTACAGTTTTTAGGAAAACCAAATGAATCATTTATTTTAACTGATATAATGCTTTGCACATAAATGCAATTTAATTAATTAAGCAGATATTTAATAAGGGCCTGAAATGATTATACATTTGAAAGAGTCTCCCAGTAGCTTCCCTCCACCTTGTTATTATTTTCATTCTTATATAAGTGGAACCTTAAATGTAATTTTGCTTAGGCAAGGTCAGTGATGAAGGAAATTGTTGACCCAAAAGTGGAAGCACCCTTCTTGTGAAATATTTTTCGGTTTCAATAAAATCATTTGTCTTCATCATCATCAGTGTTCTGATTTTTAATTTTTTAGCAACATTTTTAGAAGCACCTTAAACTTTTGGGGAACATCATGGAATGGCTTTGATTATGACTTAATTTAGTGCAAAATATCACCATCTTGTGGACTTGCGAGATATTGGTAAAGTTCTTCACACCAGTTGTATTTTCACAACTGCAGTGTTTGTTTTTCTCAGTCTTTGTTTTGATAACAGCTATTTGGAGCTATACATTGTTTTCACTTTGTAATGGTTGAGGTGGCAAGATTAAGAAATTATTCCTTACTATTTTTAAAACATTATAACATTTTTATTATAGGATTCCTGTTTTATACATTGTGCTCTGTGGACCACTAGGGTTTCACTATAGATCTTACAGGGGAAGATAATAAAGTGAATGAACACACTGTTTCCCCATTTTATATATCAGTATATAAGAATCATTTGATAAAAGGACTCTGTTTTTAAAGTTGACTAGTCAGTAGATAAAAACATATATACTGATTCTTTTTAGATTGATATAAAGAGATTCTGGCTAAAAGCAATATGGGGTTGTGATTAAAATATTTAAACAAGCATGTAAATATGGAAAAGTGTCCAGTGTTGCCTGTGATGTTCTGTGACTTTTTATGCACATTAGGTATAGACTGTGTTGGGGTAGGGGTTGGCCTGCTAATTGAGTGTGCAAAGAAGCTGGGATATTTGAATTGCTCCAACTAGTATTTCTCCCTATAATTGTTCGTGTTAATTGATGTATCTCTACTGTGCATTATAAGGAAGTTAGATCTCTTCTTGAGATAGCACATAGGCAATTTGCTGCCACTGTGCCTAGTTCCACTGCAGTCCTGTCTGTGGCACCATTGGGTCTAAAACCACGTCTTAACTCTCTTCCCCCGATAGTGAGGGACCAGAGCTGGCCTGGGCCTTGGTTTAGGCTTTGGTGACCTTGTCTCATAGGTATAATGGGTCTAATTACATGGAACAGAAGCTGCTCCCATGAAAGCTTGGGATTTTCATGTTTATTAATCACCTCTTCACTCTACTAATGATATCAGCTGCTGAGTATCTTCCCAGTACAAAGAGCCACGCATTGTAATTTTGGGAAGTGCCGTTATCCCCATATTACAGATGCAGATACTGAGAAATTGAACTGTAGTCTGGGTTTAAAAGTCCGTGATTATTCCATTATAGCAATTTCTCCTGTGCTGCTATCATCACTGACAGTTGAGTAAGAAATATGTTTTTAAATTTAGGTCATCAAGTTTTGAAAATAAAGGAAAAACCTGTTTTTTCCTTTACATATTTGAATTTTATTGCTATTAAGTAAACAAAATCATATACGTTTGATTTTTCTTAACAAAACTCTTTTTGTAAGAGTTGAACAATAAGAACCTTTTGTAAATAAATGCTTTCAGCCTAAGTTCTATGCCTTTTAAGAACTGTTATGGAACCTCAAAGTTGAGATTTTTGCAAGTTTTATTCTCTTTCACGACCCTGAGAGTAAATAATATGTTTATTTAATTTAGATTAATTTTTGTCTTTGAGGTTTAAAGAATATAAAATTTGAGCATGGCTTTTAAAAATACCTTCTCACAACTTACTTTAGTGCAGGATGTAAATAATCATAGCATCTCAACCATAATTTCGTTTTCACATACATTATACTGAGTATAAAACTCTTGGTTCATAATTTTTTTAACCACAAATTCCGTGGATAGCCTGTTTACTCTGTTCCCTAGGTGCTGGTAGATTTTTTTCCTTTTGATCCTTAAAATCCAAAAATTTTACCAGGATGTGCACAGGTGTTAGTTTGGGTTTTTTAAAATTTGTTTTCTGTTTTTTCATGGACCTCTTTGATTTGTAAGTGCAGATAAATTTTCCTACATCCTAATGTGGTTATTTTTCCTCTCTTCTGTGAATACTTTTCACAATTATGTTGATTTACTAGATTGGTAGTACAAATATCTATTTATTTTTTAACACCTTGTTTTTACCAGGTGGATGGCACAAACCTTCAGGGGTTTACCAATCAGCAAGCGGTAGAGGTGTTGCGACACACGGGACAGACTGTGCACCTGACCCTAATGAGGAGAGGAACGAAGGCCGAAGCTGAGCCCCCGGCAAGGGAGGGTGTCCCGAAAGATGCGGCCCTGGCGCCTGTCAGCGCCGGCATAAGCAAAGGTAATGCCGCTCGTCTGCTCTTCCCTTACACCCTGACGTCATTGCCATTTTTTCCCTAATTCTGAAATTATTTAAAAAATCGTTTTTCGTCTTCACTATTTAGCATGAACCAAGTGAAAGGGAAATTTAACGAAGCTGGGATGTGTTCACTGACTGTAGAACGGGATCCAGAGTAAAGCAGGGCACTGCCTGTCCTGTTGACTCAGTCACCGTTTCTGTCATTTACCGTTCAGTCCTTGCCTTACTTTTGAATGTCATCGTCATATCTTCTCTTTAAGGGGAACCTGTCTGCGTGGATTATGCATTTGAGCCCCGTGACGTTTCCGGCCCCTGAGCCTTTCCTTGAAGGAATCGGCTTTAATTTCCCGTTTAGAAATGTCATTCATAACCTGCTCATACATGAGTATCTCTGGAAAGTACTGACATCCCCAGGTGGCTCACTGGTGTGAGGGTTAATTGGTAGCAGTCAGGCTGTTGGTTTGAAAGTGCTACTTCATTTCTCAAACTGCTAACCACTCTGGTGTTTATGCCATAGACTTACGACAGTCCTAGGAGACAGGAAATCAAATCACAGGAGAAATGTATTACTTCTTTGTCCCATTAACAGGAGACATTTCCTCCAAGAACATGTGGTTCTTGAAGAGTTAGCTCACAAAAAAATAATTTCTCATGTAGGGGTTCAAATATATATAGTAGGCTTTGAAAAATTCAGATGCTTGGTAATATTATAGATATAACTACTAGGTATTCTTTTTCTTTAAGAAAATTATGAAAAAGATGAGGATTCTTTATGTTTGAGGAGAAAAACCAGCATATTACCAATTGAAGAAGGTAAACACTTACTTGTTGCTAATGTGATTTTTAGAGAACTGATTTCTATAAATGTGATTAAGCCTCTATGGACATACTATAAATTTCAGGGGGAATAAACTTTCAAAAAGGGAGATATTTGTAATCCTTATTTATAGATGTGATTAATTGCTCTAGTAGATTAAAATAGTTCATTGATAGCTGGCATATTTTCTTGCTTAGTGAATCTTTTCTTTCTTCTACATTTTTTTTTTTTTTAAACCAGAACCCTTTAGGAATCAGTTACATACATGGTTTTATTTCAATCCCCTTATTTCTGTACAGCTAACATATGTCTGTCTTATTGAACAAGCAAACATAAAATTATAAAGTATTTTTAAAGTAAACACAAGGGGATCTTTAAAGCATAAGCTCTTAGGAATGAAACTGTCCAATCTGGGGAGGCTTTTTCTTCTCCATTTAAAAAAAATTCTAAACTTTAATATTGGAAAGTTTTAATATGTAATTGTGCCTGAATGTTATTGTGATCGTTTGAGGCCAGGTGCTGTGTGCTTCCCTTACGTGTCAGGTGGCTCTAGGTACTTTGGTAGCTTAAATCCACTGAAAAACTCCAAGTCTGATCTCCCTTCATTTGAATCCCGCCCTTCATGAAACAGTTTCATTGAAGCTTTGTAGTTCTTTAAAATATCTGCTACTTCATTATTAAATTACTATCTTTTGCTGAGAATTTTTATTTACTTTTATTATTTTAAAGCAGTATTTGTGTTTGCAGTGGTATCCCTGGAGTGAGATGTGTAAGATTCACGGGTTAATTGCATTCTGCCATTTTTACACAAATAGGTGAAGAAATTACTTAGGCTAAAGTGACTCTCAGGAGTTAGGGAGAAAGTATAAAAATGTTTCAAAGCATGAAACTTAAGATAGTAAGTGGGGATGGGGATAGGAGATTGTCTTGAAGGCTCAGACCATCTAGTTTGCCTTGGTGAATGTATATATGTGAGAGCATAGATGGGAGAGGCTCAAGGGCCCCAAATTCCTTTTTAAACAAACTAAACTAAGGAAAAGCTTGTGTTCTAATGCATCTACCCTAGTGCTTGGCCGTCACACAAGGGGATAAGATCTCATTGCCGCCTCCACAGAAATTTGACTCATTGTGTGAGCCTGGACAAGTCATTTGACTTCCCAGGAAGATCAAAAGACTGGACTTGATGATTTTTTAAATATGCCTGAAATCTTGTCTTGGAGCAGTTGGGAGAGGGGGGAATGGAGGGCTGTGCAACTGTAGGTTTGGTTGTATGAAGACAGATCTCAGATTTGTTGACAGCCCCATACAGATTCCCCACTTTCTGCGTTTGGAATCCCACCCTGCTTGAATCACTGTGCAGCTTTGTGAGGACAGCAGAACCAGAGAAAGGGGGGATGGGAGGAGGTTTGCCTGAGCTGACCCTCTTTCTAACCCTTATCAGGTTGAAAGGGAGGGTCCATGTACTTTGTGTTCACCCCTGTGTAGTTATCCCTCCCTGGACTGAATTTAATTTTGAAAATACTCATTTGGGTGTGGCTAGTCTCCAAATTAAAAAATTATATATAGTTTATTGTTTTCATTTTCTCAAGGAGAAACCAGATCATTTTCTTAATTTAAGGCATAACAAATGTGCAAAATAGGCCTAAAGTGAAAGCTCATTAATCCCATTAAATAGAAGGCAGTTAAGACATTTGAATTTTGGAACACTTTAAATTTGAAATTTGAATGCTAAAAGGGATATTAAAAATTTAACTTGGAGGGTGCCTTGTAGAGATTTTTTTTAAAGACAACCTTTATGAGTGAAATCTATGATGAAATATGGAAATCTTTGAATATGACTTGTAAATTTATTTCAACCAGTTTTTTATTTTAGCTAATGTTTTAATTCAATATTGTTTATGTAATTTGCTTAGTGATTTTCTTTCAGACTTTTTCATTTTCCTTTTGCCAATTATTGCAATTTCAACTATGGGGTTTTATTTCAATGTACATTCTCAGTTTTTCATTTTTTTCTCATTTTTTACAAATTTACTTATTAAACATGGAGTTGCATATATTATTTGTTAATTTCTTTTGTCTGTTTTTGCTAAGATGTAGCATGGTCCCTCTTTACTCTGTAGAACCAAATGAAAATGAAATAGATAAACTAACGTAAAAGGCAATAGAAATAACATCAAGACTTAAAAGAGGTCTCATAAAAGAATAGTGTTTGAACATGTAGATGATAGGGCTCTAAATTAAATTATTAAAAGTGTAGAGAAATAGAGCAACTCATATACTGGGTGGTGAGTAAGTCTTTGTGTGATAGACAGTTTTGATCACATTCCCCTGATACAGAATGTTAAAATAAGGATAATATTTGAAGTTTCTCACTAACTTAATTGTGTTTACTGTTTCAGGGTATCCCTTGCTGTTAGCTGAGATAGAAGAAATAGAAGATGCACAACAACAGGAAGCTGCCTTGATGAAAAAGTGGCAAAAGATTATGGGAATTAATTATGAAATAGTGGTAGGTTACCTTACCCTCCCTCCCTAACTTCCTCACTTATAACTGTGTTTGAGTAAGAAATTCACGAGAGCAATAAAAACGATCATCATAAAGAGTCTTTGAGAAGTTGCAAATGCCCAAGGCTTTTTTTTCCCAGAGACCTAAATGTGATGATTCAGGTTTTAAAAAAATTCAGGTTGGAGAAAGTTTGATAGTAACCAAGGAATGGAAATAAATGGGATGGAAGTTTTAGAACTCCTAATTCATCAATGTTTTAATATTTCTGGTGGTACTACATCTTGTATAGATACTAGGAAGGCTTTTTCCTCATTCTTAAACTTGGGATTTATAGAAAGAATCAGAAAAGAATGACAGCATTTACTTTAAAATAAAAGTAAGTCACGACTATATACAGAATTGTAAACAGACTTTTGCCTACTCTCTGGGTTACCACTCTCATGTACTTACTTAAGACATTTACTTTTATATGCTTTTTCATATAACTTCTGTCATACTGATTGTTTTATGTTTATTAACAGTTTGCATAACTAGTATAGCAGTTGTCATCTGCTTCCTAAAAAGAGATTTAACAAAGGTGACGCAAGTTATCAATCTTTAGATGTACACCAGCAAATTTCAGGGATTTCAAAAAGAAAAATGTAATACCAGGTTAGGTCAGATTTCTCTTATTGTTTGTAATATCTAAGTAACTCTCGATAAGAAGAGAGAAAAGACAACAGATTTCATACAGTATTCACAACTAGCATTTATTGAGCACTTTGTGCCAAGCAGTGTTCTTCATGTTTCATTTAACACTCATGACAGTGATCGATCTTTTAAACATTCAAGATGGTTAACAGCCAATTAAGAAATGAGTAAGTACAGCTGTTATGACCATTTTAAATCGAGTTGAGCAAAAACACAATCAAGTCCAGCTTCACTGTGGTTAATTTAACATGGAAAGGAAGTTGAGATGGTCCTTCTGTGAGGCAGGCTGGCATGCATAACTGAGACTGCCCTTCTTCTGGTGGTAATTGAAGAGCCACTTCGTCACGGGCCTGAGACTGGGAATTTTGAATGGCCTTTGTGCACTTGGCACTCCTAGTTCTGTCAAGGGTAGAAGTGTGCTGTAAATAAGAAAGAACTAAGTTGTTTATTGGCCTTCAGTACAAGTAAGACATATATCTGTCTTTAAATTGTTTTCTATGCAGTTACACAGCGTATATGTAATCATAGGAGTGGTGGTGTAGAAGAGAGAAGGATTGATGGGCATTATCAGTGGGGACCTGGAGGACTGCTCGGAGGAAGTGATATCTAAAATGAGTTTTAAGGAGTGAGAAGGATTTCATCCAGCATTATATTTCAGAGTCAGATGATGTAGCTTCTGATACGAACCCTGCGCATATTAAGATGTGAGAGAGACCTTTTTTAATTAAACAGTATTTTTCTCAGTCCCTCTATCCCTCAGTTTCCTTAACTGTAAAATTCCCCCGGGGTGAAGTCGGTAATCTTTAGTATACCCTCCAATTTTAATATAATCAATGGATTCTTTATGAAAATGGGCGATTTTCTACCATTCTTTGTTACTTTGTGTAACAGTAGGAAATAGGAAGGTCATTTTCTTGTTTTAACCTTTGATTCACTTTTAAAGACCAGTGTTGTCTCTCAAATCAGCATAAATGAGGGGTGTGGGCTCTAGGTTCAGACTGCTTCTGTTCAATGATCTTTACCAGCTGGGTGACTGTGGTTAAGGTGACCTCTCTGAACCTCATTTTCCTAACTTGGGAACCAAGGATATAAACTGTATCTATTTATGAGAAGCAAATGAGGTACTCTGTGTAGTGGGGTTAGTACAGTCCCTGGCACATAGTAAGTGCTAAGTGTGCATCTTTTCTATTCTGTTGTTTGAGCTCAGGCGTTTGATAGTATCTGCGTAGACTACCTTCCATCTGTTACCAGTGTCTGTAAGCACAGCAAAGTGTTTTGGGTTCTTGCATCTCACTTCTTTTGCTTTCAGTTGGTTCATAAAACTTGTAGATATCAGCCTTCTTTCAGGGGCAAGGCTCCAAAGCTTTGCAACTTTACAATAGATTTTTGAAGCTTTCGTAAGAAAGTTGACTTGTTTTGAGTAAACATAAAATACATACATGAGAACTGAAAAAAATGAAAGAATATTAGAATTGTGATGATTTTCCTTTTTTCAGGTGGCCCATGTGAGCAAGTTCAGTGAGAACAGTGGCTTGGGGATAAGCCTGGAAGCAACAGTGGGACATCATTTTATCCGCTCTGTTCTACCAGAAGGTCCTGTTGGACACAGCGGGAAGCTTTTCAGCGGAGATGAGCTACTGGAAGTAAGGAGCTATGCCCTTTTACCCTCCCTCCCCCAAATAAAATTCTTAAAAGGCTGCAGGAGGCTTCATGTGGTGAATAAGTAAGTTCCTATTTTAAATTTCCCCTCTAAAGGATACCTGAGAGAGATCTACAAATAAAATTCCACCCAAAGCAGGAATTTCAAATCTGTATTTGCATTGATTTTCAGACCTAATTCCATGCTGAGTTTGTTTGCTTGTTTTAGTTCCAGAGAACTATAAAAACTTCTTTAATTTTTTTAAACATGTATCCAACTATTAGAATAGGTAATACACTTACATATTTCAAAATCACAAACAGTGCAAAGCTTTACGGTATAAAGCTTCTTTCCTATTCCAATCCACCCAGTTTCCATCACCCTTCATTAGGTAACTAATGTTACATTTGTTTCCATGCAACCTTCTGGATATTTTTAACGCGTCAATGAGAAAGTTTGAATATATTCTTTTGCCCCACTTTTATCAAAAATACGCTAACACACGACATGGGCCATTTTTCTATTTTATTTTTTTCATTTAATAATATGTCAGTTTTTAAAATAATTTTTTCCCTTTCCTCTTTTGGGTTTTTATGAACTCTTTTCCAACTACACTGTCAAATCAAACAATGATGAAAGCTAGTGATTTTTTTCTGAGAGTGCTTTAGAAGGTCCAATCCCGACAAGACTCTAAACTTGCATGTAAATTGTTTTCCATAGTTGTGTTACGTGTCTAACTATAGTTCTGACTGCAGCAGAACTATGGTAATAGTAAAATTTATATTTCTTTAATGAAAAAAAATGTTTTCATAAGAATATTTATGGTATGAGATGTGCTTCCTTGGACAACTTTCTTTTTCCACAGGTGAACGGCATACCTTTGCTGGGGGAAAATCACCAAGATGTGGTGAATATTTTAAAAGAACTGCCCATAGACGTGACCATGGTGTGTTGCCGCCGCACTGTGCCACCCGCCACCCCGTCAGAATTGGACGGCCTGGACTTACGTGATATTGAACTAACAGAAAAGGTATCAGATAGATGCAGGTGTGAGACTAATCTGAATGTATAATGGAAAAGCTAAATGGCATTTGAAAAATTTTAAGCCTCTTTTATTATTTGCTGTTTGATTTCCTCACATTGCCCATGGCTCGTAAGAGAGCCTTGGAGTCAGACAGACCTGGGTTTGAATCCGGCTTGGCACTTCCCGGGTCGGTGACCTTGGGCACTTCATTTTTCTGAACATCAGTTTTGTCTTCTGGACAATGTAAGTCATGTTGCCTGTCTTGGAGCATTACTGTGTACATAAAATAAGGTAATGGAGTGATATTAGATATTATTATTGCCCACTGCACGCTTATATAATTTATTCATACTATTCCTATGAGGTCAGTACTCACATCATCCACATTTACAGAGCAGACAGTTGAAATATGTAAATAGTGAGTATATAGTATCTATGAGATAAAATATTTTTTGTAACCTGGCACACAGTTACTGCTCAGTGAATGTCTAAAATATGGGTGGACTCATCACTTCTGCTTATATAGGTCGTATTTGCACACTCTCGATACTTTTAAAATAGGAGAAATTGGAGCTCGTAATACTACATGTCAGATAATACTCTGTGACATCCAGAAACTCCCATTTTTCTGTTCATTTCCATTCAGATCAAAATGTCAAGAAATGGAGCCCATTGGCTTTTCTGAAGACTCACAGTAGATATCTAAAGTTATGATTTGAACTTTGCATAATTTGCAACCTAAATGAAGACGCTAGGATTTGACTTACGTTATACTGAAGGAATCAGTAAAGAGGAATAATTTTGAAAATTTTGAAGAATAAAGTGTGTAGTTTAATATTCACATGGGTGATTAGAACAGGGTAGAATAAGAAACATAATTTCAAATTGTATAGTCCCATACATAGCCATGCACATTTTTATGTGGTGTAAATGGGATTATTACAATAAAGCAGGTGGACAGATTTGTGTCCGTGGTCCTAGGCTGTGCAATAATTGATTAAAAGCAAAGATAGTGTACTTTTCTAAAAATCAGATTTTCATCAAAAATATATCTTTCCTAAATTTGATGTGTTCATCCGGATTAACAGAGCTAATTCACCTAGATTTTAATTTAAAAATTAAATTCACTTTATTTTTACTAAAGAAGCTAACATTTTGAACCTCTGTTTCTGTGCCATATACTTTATAAATGTTACCTAATTTAATCTTCAAAACTCTGTGAGATGATAGCTACGAAGCCCAGGTTAAGAATGTTTCTCAAGGCAACACATAAGAAATCCTGGAGATAATCTTCAAGCCTAGGCCTTCTAATTTCTAATCTTGTCTGGCCCCTATGTGTGTTAATTGATTAATGAAAGGATCTCGTGCACAAGACACAGAAACTTAGAACCCTTGTTTGCATAAAGCATGGAACTTTTACATATGGCCATTTCTTCTTGAATTGTTATTTATCATAAGGATTATTTTTTAATATTAAAATAGCTTTATCTTTTTCTTCTGACTACAGAGGTGATTCTGAAACTGATGGAAAAAAGTGAAAATCACCCACAGTCATGCTGCTGAGATATAATTGTTCTGTATTTTTATATGAAATCTTTGAACCATATATTTTTAATGCCTGTTGTAAGTTAGGTATTTCTTCTTGTATAATAACTTTCAGTAATTATGACCTTAATTCCTAAAGGTTTCCTAATAAGCTGTTGCTACTCTTCTGTGAGGGTATTTTGTTCTGGAGAGAGACTGAGAATCTTCCCTTTTCTTGGAGTGTTGTTATGTGTATCTTCTAATCTGGTGCCTCTGAAATAAGAGCTGTCTGGTCTGTTACCAGCCTCACGTAGATCTAGGCGAGTTCATCGGGTCTTCGGAGACAGAGGATCCTGTGCTGGAGATGCCCAGCGTGGGCCAGGATGCAGGGAAGGTTCAAGGACCTTTGGCCATGTGGGAGGCAGACGTTCAGCACATCGAACTGGAGAAGGGGAGCAAAGGACTTGGTTTCAGCATTTTAGATTATCAGGTAAATATATCCTACCTTTAACAATTTTTTAATAAAAGATGGTATATACTAAGGGCACACTGTTGATAGCAGAGAAAAAGCAGGTAACGTTTTAGTCTTCAAAGACATTTTCATGTTCCTGATAAATCTTTCAAAATAGTAATTTAAATGATTCATTCATTATCATAAAGGATTTTTTTAACATTGAATTCATTGAGTTCTTTTTTATTTCAGCTCTTGAGGATTTGAAGAATATGCAGAATAATATTTAGGAATATTGTTGAAATACAGTTTTTTTGGACATTTGGGTCTTCATGTCCAAACTATTTTTAATTTCCATGCACTTAATTGATAGTTCATATTTCTATGGTAAGACAGAAAGCATTAGATACTTATTTTGTCTGAAGCAAATAATAGATTTATAATTGGATATATTATAAATTCCCACATTCCTGTCATTTGACTAAATTTATGAATAAGCCTCAGCTGGCCCATGTGACCCGCTGCTCCCCTGCATTGTGTTCTGTGCAGTGAGGAGCTGTGGGAACGCTGCGGCCTCTGGCAGACGCCGCTGTGCTGCTCATTAATTAATACTGAGCCAGGCGCCATCTCCGGTGGCCCCGGGATGTGTTGTTCACAGGGACTGATTCTGGGCCTTGTGCTGATATCAAGGTTGCTGTATATCTTACACTGCGTCACCAAGTTCTCTACGGCCTCTCTCTATATTTCCTTATTTCAAAAGACAGTGTACTCACATCTACTGATGTTTCCGAACAATTATATCCTACTTAACAAATGCCGACGTTAATAAGCCCTATATCTGACATCTATCTAGCCTCGGATGATGGTTATGAAATTTGAGAGTTTATCAAAAGTTAAAATTACTTGAAAGTTATCTGTATAATTTGAAAGGTTCACCTGGGGAATGATGGCAAGTGAGGGAGCCTTGTTTAGGGTGAACTCGTCCTAAACTCTAGAACGAGGGAACCTTTGCCCAGATAACTCATCAGAAGTCTTAGTGACATTCTTTTGAAGACACTTGAAACAGTTACCCACCCATTAAAATTCAGGGTGACAACCCGTAAAGACACTTCCCACGTAAAGCGGAGCTGCTTTCCCTGTCTTTCTCCATGCTGTCAGGACCCGATCGACCCAGCAAGCACTGTGATCGTAATTCGTTCCTTGGTGCCCGGCGGTGTTGCTGAAAATGATGGACGGCTTCTCCCTGGAGATCGACTCATGTTTGTCAATGATGTCAACTTGGAGAACAGCAGCCTCGAGGAAGCTGTTCAGGCTCTGAAGGGCGCCCCGTCAGGAACTGTGAAAATAGGAGTTGCCAAGCCTTTACCTGTAAGAATTTGTATTTTACTGACTCTCTTATACATTTACAAACAACATGGCTTGTGGGCTTACTTTTAGCTTCATGTGTTCTTATGATTGAATCGTGACTTGGTACTTTTCATGAGCATGATTATTGGCTCTGTGAGAGTAAAGATTTAATTTTGAATAATATTTTTAAAAGGGTAAAGGAAATGAAAGGGGGAGTTTGGAAATAAATTTATAAGATTACGCTTCACTTTTGACCTTTTTTATTCAATAATAATATGATACAGAATAAAATATTTTCAAAGTAATATGCCTTAAAATATCTATACCTGTATAGTGGAGTATTAGAGAAATCAATAGCATTAACAACTAACAGTGGAGTCTTTAATTAGGTTGGGATAAAGTGGAATCTCTGTAGAGTCACTTAAGGTCCTGCATTGTCAGTTTCAACACATTTGTTGTCTAATTACTGCAAAGCAAGACATTGAACTTTCCAAAGTGGATTATCAGTTTGTGGCTCTCCCCCAGGAGGGAATAGCCCTCCTGTCATTAATTACTGATTATATTAAAAATAACTAATGGCATGCTACATGGTGTCAGTATGTTTACTAGGTGTAGTGGTTGTAACATAGCGCTTACGACTGAATTGCAGTGAAATATTAGAGACACTCTCTTCGTGAGATTTTCAGTATATAAATATATTTGTAAGTGAAAGGGCAAATATACCTTCTCTTAAAAAACCACAAGCCCATGGATGTATTTGCATAAACATCAAATAAAAATGTGTTGACTTCGCGAAAGGATTTGTCCAGATAGTAAGCTTTGCTAACATATTTTAAATGTTAAATTTTTTATGCTTCACTTTTTACTCCACAAAGAAATGGTAAGTATGAAACTATATTTATAAAAACAGAAAGAGTACAAGAGAAAGGGAAGAAGGAAGTATATGTTCATTTAACCTGAAATCAAATCAGGATTGTAGAAATCAGAACAAAAGATGTATACAAAGGGGAATGTAAGAATGGAGATAGGCCATTATGAGACTCTCTAAATACAGGGTGGGGCAAAAGTGGATTTCTAGTTCATCGTATGGAAAATAATACAATAAATAATAAATAACATTACAAGAATAAAGTCTGTTTCTCGTACTCACGACTGTAAACCTGCTTTTGCCCCACACTGTGTGTTAAGGTTGACCATACATATTTCGTTCTGGTCTTTCTGTTAGACAAAGAAAAATGGCAAATATGACTCAATATCTGTTTTTTACGGCCCTTAGGAGAATCCATGCCAGTTATTCAGAAGCGTACTTTTTTTTCCTAACTAGTTCCAAAATAAATTTCTTTCATGAGAATATTTGCTATTTCAAATTCCATGCGCATTGCAATAATATGATAAATATATTTTATATAAAGTGAGGTTTACTATATATTAATTCATATGTGTGGGAAAAATGAGAAACGTTTTTTACCTAAAATACTTGGGCATATATTGATGATACCGGGTGATATAGACATAGCAGTTAGCCTATTTTATCTGAGGTTGGAATATGGATGTTAGGTTTCCTGTCAGTGTGATCAAGGTTACAGTGTAATGACTCAGGGTGCAGTTTAAGTGGATTGTGCACATTTACGTTTTTTTAAGCCATATTAAACTAAGAGACTTCATTGTAGGGTTCACTAACATTCCTTGTCAAGTAAATTACAGTCTTTAAAATAATGTTCTTATAAGGGGGTAACAGAAGTTGATTGTTCTTTTTAATATTTTGTTTTTTCAGCAATCCTATTACATGTTAATACCTAAAAGTTTCCTTATTTCTATGTTAAGAACTTGCTTAGCCAGAATATTTGACAGATAAAAAAGACCAAAAGATTACTGTAAGATAAAATATTATTTTATTATAAAGTATTGTTGATTTTCATAATCTTTTATGAGAAGAATGAAAAAATAGTTAAAAGAGATTCTCATCTAACTGATGATAGTGGTATTGGAATAAATATCCTCATTGTGGCTTAACAAATAAAAATGTTACACGTGAATATTTATCATATTTTATGATCATTCTGTGTTAAAGTCATGTGGTATCATCTGAAAACTTTCCCATTTTTTTCTCTCCTCCTTTGACTTCCCTCCCCTCTCTTTCCATTCTTTCTTTTTCATGACCTCACCCTCGAACACTGGGCTTCATTCTCCCTGCAGCTTTCGCCAGAAGAAGGTTACGTTTCTGCTAAGGAGGAGTCCTTTCTCTACGCCCCGCACTCCTGCGAGGAGGAAGGGCTGGCTGGCAGGGCCCTCTTCAGGGCTGACTTGGCTCTGGTTAGTGGCCTCCGCTTATCAAGCTTTCTTTCAAAAATCTTATGTCTATTTTTGCCTTTTAAAATATTCTGAAGTCTTACTGTATTCTTTGTTCATTATATTTTGGAAAACTAAACATTCTCTTGACAACTTCAATACTTCTAATAATTCCAAATGGGAGGAAAAACAAACATATATGAAAACTCTTCGTTGGATTCGTGGAAAATTTATTTAGCAAGGCATTATGTCAATAGGCCAGAATTGATCTTTACATCATACCAAAAGTTTGTTGCAGCACTTGTTTGCTCTGCTTTCATACTTGAGTATCTCTAGGCATTCTTTAACTGTTTCAGTATTGAGCCAGAAATCAGCATTTCGTCTACCTTTTAATAAGTTGGTAGGTCTCCATGGGCATTATGCGAATATTGTGTTAACACTCCAAAACTAGATAGTTTAGAATTCTATGAACTGCATGAAGTGCTATGGTATAAATGTGTTAAACAGCATCCAGCCATAGAAAATTCTTTTTGAAGTATTGCAGGTCACAAATACATCATTGTCTCTAAAAGTGCCCGCTGAGCTTTTTTTCTGCAGTTGACATGGCTTCCTTCCGTCGTCTTAAATGAGCACCAGTCACAGAGATTAGTCCCACTTTTCTGTGAGCTCAACATCTTAGAGTAGTAGCTGTCCTGGGTCTTCTCCCTAATTATCTATACAATCTCATACTGGTCACTCAATTTTTCTGTACCCTGGTGTTTTTATAAATCTACAATAATTAGATTGAGTGTTAGGATCTCTTTTAAGATTCTGAGGCATCAAAGAAAGGTATATGAATTGTTTTGAGAAATTTTTCTTTAATGTTACTTAAAACAAATATTTTTCTGTCGTAACCCATGACCCAAGGCTTAGTTAATACTATCGATGTAGGTAACAGATGTTAAATATTTACCATTTAGATTGCTGTACATAATGTACATTTGTAAAGGGTAAACCTCCACATAGCTTCTCACTAGTGAATTTGAACAGGTATTGAGAATACATTATTTATATATTATCAGAGAAGTTCATTTTGAAATGGCCCATCTGTATTCTTCTGTTTTTGCAAGAATGTGACCCGGTGTAATACTATAACGCTTATAACTTCTGACGGAATGTGTAAGTTGAAATCACAGATAAATGGAAGAATGTGGGATTTTGCCATTAAAACAGAAAATACTGGTAGTACTGGATAAGGGTAATATTTGTCAGTTCTGCCTATTCTGAGGTGTAACAGTGAGTGACTTGTAAGAAGAGCTTCAAGCTTATCATGTCCTGATTCTTTCACTTGGTTCTGCCATAGAAGATAGTGACAGGATTTTTAGATAATACGGAGTGAAATTCTCTTCTTCACCCTATGTGAGTTTGCCAACAACAGCTGTTTATAACTTATAATTTTACCATAACTAAACCATAATTAGGCTCCTTGTTAGTGTAATGTCAGCATGAAATGGCAGGTTTTTCTCTGGGTCTATAACTCATATGGTTTTTAAATCTAGTGAAATACAATTTAAATAAAAGATTGGCACATAGATGATCGCCTAGCTGTCCTATTGAAGTTTATTTTAGTTGAATAGGAAGAGAGCTGACCTCATTCATTTTATTATAAAATTCTGGGAGTTGGGCAGGTATTATTTAAAAATAATGCGAACTGGAAAAAAAAGCAAATATTTTCCCTAATTTATGAAACTTTTAAACTTAGAATTGATGCGGTCCTTTATTAACTGTTACCCTCAGCCCTTCATTGACGGAATAAAATAACCTTTTACGGCAGCACCCTTTGCGGCAGGTGGCAGTTCATCCTGGGTCTGTTGAATTAGCGAGCCTCTGATGTGTTGAGGGTGAAGGAGTCGTGCAGACAATAGCGTAGGCAAAGGAGTGATAACCAGTGTACGTTTCCGTCTCAAGGGGAGATGCATATAGGTAATAGAACAGAATTTCCAACCGATACTATTGCTTTGATTCCCAGGTGGACACAAATGATGCTGACCCAGCAGATGAATCTGCATTTGAGTCTCAGTACTCTCCTGATAACGACAGCATCTACTCTACTCCAGCGTCTGTTTTATCTCTTCATGGCAGTGCTTGTAGTGATGGCGTGAACTATGGCCCCTCCCTCCCATCTTCTCCTCCCAAGGTACGAAGGAAATGGTATCTCACTTATGGGAGAACCTTGTATGCAGTTTTCCAGAGGTCATTTTTTATGGGGAGTTGAGTTGTAGGAGTAGCAAGTCAGACATTCTATTCCTCAAGTCATGGGTTCATTATCAAATTAAAGTTCAGATTCATTTAGGTAGTGTTGATTGGGTAACTTAGACTCCCAGGGACTATTTAATTCTAGGGTCTGTGATGCAGAGTGATAGACACTAAGGTTCCAAGCTTCGGTTAGGATTTTCATGTTAAAAAGAAAATAAATAATAAAACATTTCTCAAATTGTGTTTTTAGCTGTGTCTACTTTGGAAAAAATATAGATATTTTAATCATTTTATTACTGACTTTCACGCCAAGTTGGATAGTAAAATATTTCTTGCATTAATTTAATATTTACTAGCTAAGTTAAATTTAATGCTATCCTGTTTTTATATAAAATGATGCCAAAGAATATGTTGAAATCATTGTGAATGGCAAATGTGTTTGTCACTGAGTATGAATGAAGAATTCATTTGCTATTTGACATACTGAGCCATTTATATTTTAGAAATAGATTATTGGCATAAATGCTCTAACTCTATTTTCTTAGTGACGTGCTCTATAACGTTTAGTAAGTAACATTTTAAAACCTATCCAATCTTTTGGGTGTTAAATAGTATCTTATTATTTTAATTTGAGGTTCCTGATTACTAGTGAGGTTGAACATTTTTCATATATTGGCCATTTGGGTTTTACTTCCATCAGTGACATCTTCATATCTTTTGACTATTTTTATAATGGGTTACTTATCTTTCTGTTGATTTGTTAGCATTGTTTATATTTTCTAGACATTGATATACAAAGCAATTCAATGTATTTTTATGAGTATGTGTATGTGGTGTTCATTAAAAAACCTAAAAATGTGTGGGGATGTTCCTTTTCAACTTCAGGAAAGAAGTTATTCTTGGAGAAAATAGGAAGCATGGGAATTTAGTTCAATACATTGTATCATTGTCAGTAGAAAAAGACATGGAAGAACATGTGGCAAAATGTTACTGTCTATTAAATCTGGGCAAAGAATTCATATGGGGATATATTTTCTTCATTTTTCTATGTTGGAAATATACCATCAGTAACAATTAAGATAAAAAGACTGGACAATAATTCTTTCTTAGATATATGAAATATATGTTTTCCACCTAACTTCGGTGGGAAGGGAATTTGAATACGCTGGAAAGTAGAATTTTCATAGAGCTAGCAGTTTTCCTCTTTTCCTGAATTAAGTATTTTTTTGGCCAGAGCAATCAAAGCTTTTTCTTTCATGTTCAAGGTACACCTGTTATCCTTGCAAATAATGCTGGACAGCCTCTTTGAATTGGTTTGCAAAGTATAATCTTGAATGGAGCAGCTGCTCCTCTCTCACCACACCTGAGACTGCCTCACTCTGCCTGCGTCCTGTCTGGACCCTGTTCAGTCTTTCCTGGCCTCTGGGCTGGGAGCTGAGTTCATCCCCTAATGGAGTCTCCTAATCCACAGCATAGCACAATTCTTGCCAGTGGGACAGATTGCATTGTTTAACTTTGTAATTGTTACTTAAAGGGATTACACAATCTGCATACTGAGAAGCATACATTTTACAGGGCAAATGCTGGCTGTATGCAGCACAACATATTGGCTTACTGAAGTCTGTTTGCCTTTTTTTTTTTCTTTTCCCAAGCAGTTTACTCTTTTGTTGAAGGAAATTTTGGCAGGCTGGCTTATCAACTGAAATATTTAAACTACAAAACAACAAAGAAGACATTAATGAGGGTATTTTAAAACAAATTGTGAAACTCCTGTGTGCTTGTAGTTTTCTTTGAAAGTAGGACTTCCTAGACGTGGTAAATCTCTGCAACAGTTTTGTTTTGTTTTGTTTTTGTTTTCTGTGGCGTCTTTTCAGCATCTATTTACTAGAAAATAGTGTGTAAATAATAAAAAAATTAGATGATGCATTCATCTTTTTGTTTCTTTGCACTAAATTTACTTTTAAAAGACAGAAAGGCAATTTGTTATGGAATTTAGAATTGACCAATTTCCTTAAAGAAAAGTGAGCTCTCATTAGGACTTTTTAATTGATAAAATAAGATTGTATCACATGTGATACTGATGTGAAGAAAGATGAAATAGAGTGTGAGGATCTTAGTGATTCCTCAAGTTTTTGACTGTGCTAAATATGTAATAATCTTGTAGCCCTAAGTCATGTCTGGAAGTACACAAGTAATTTTGCCTGTCTCCTTAATTGACGAGAGAGTTCTCTTCACTGGAGTCAGGCGTGCTAGAAGTTGTAAGACCTGGTCACCCAGAGCAGGAACTCATGGGGGGAGGACTATCTCATGGCAGAGCCTGGGCCTTGCAGCAGCTCAGACTCCAGAGGACTGCAGCCCCAGGCGGAGCTCCTCTGTACAAAATTCTCCCATCAGGGAGCCCATACTGCTATTTTTTTTTTTTTCTTTTTAAAGGGGTAGTGTTTGCTTAATTTGATTGATTATCATGCCAGGATTTAAGGGAAATAACCATTACTTAAAAATCTGAAAAATATGGCTGCTTCCAGGGCATTTGGATTAATAGAGGCAGGCCATTGAAATGTGGATTTTAAAGGCAGAAAGCCAGTGGGATCTTTCCTCTCTTCTTGTTCTAGGTTTTAATTTTTGGATTAATTTTTTTATCCCCTTTTTCTTATCTCCTCCAAAGACATAACAAATGCAGAAATAATTGTTTCCAAACTTAAATGCTTATAGACTTTTTTTAAAAGTTCAACATATTTTGGAGGAGAGAATGCTTTCATTTATTTTTTACTATTTTGGCTTTAAAAATACACCCAATACAGATTTAGTAGCTGTGTAATGAGTCTCCCCTTCTCCTAATCATCACCTGCAGGCCCCACCCTCCCCAGTATACTCACTTCTCCGAGGATGAAAAGTTTACCAGTGGGTGCATATCCTTCATTTCTGAACATCAGTACCCCCAGGAAATGCTGTTGATTCTAGTGCAAGTTGAACTTGGTGTTTGTCAAGATAGAAACTCCTTTTTGTACCGTGTACAACAATCACAGCTAAGGGATTCTATGATACAAATTAAAAAAATTCCTAAATCTTCACTTACTGTCCTATAGCATAAAGTATTGCTGCTTTTACAGACATGTTTAAAACATGTGCATTTTTTTGGAGGAGAGCATTAGTATCAAAAACTAATTAGATCACTCCAGTCAAGATGATCAGAGAGATTGTGGAAATCCTAGGGACAAAACTGCAAGTTCTCAAAGATATAAAAGATGTTGCCTTTTCGCTCAGTAGTCAATGTATACACAACAAAGGACATGTACCCTCTCTCAGCAAGAGTGGGGGACAATGGAAGCTGGAGTAGCTGTGCTATGAGTACGTTTTTCAAAGTATTTAGACTGCTTATTGAAGAAAAACAGGTTGTGTCCAGTGAATATTAAGTATTTAGCTCATCTATGTAAATCTGTTATCTGGGTAAATAATGTGCCCAAGTATAACCTTAACTTATTCATTACACTTAAGAAATAGGCCTATTTTCCAGTAAATTTAACATCCTTGTTTCACATTGTCTCCGTTTTTTTGTGTGTTTTTTTTCCGGAGAACAAGACTATATCAAGTGGAGGCACATGTTAGGGTGGATTTTGGTATCTCAACTTCATTTAGATACCAGGTTGCACTGGGAAATTGTAGTTATTTTTGGATGTATATGGGGGAAGAACTGCTTTTCTTTTAGATCCATAAGACTTTTAAAAATAAAACTCAGTTGGTTGTTCAGCAACCAGAAACGTTTCTTAAGTAGGCTTATGTTGTCTGCTGTGTTGATTAGCTCTTTCTTCTCTGTGTGTCTGTGTTAACTCCTTCATGAATAATGCATGGAAATTTGTTTCTCGATTTACAGTAAACCCCAGCTCAGGAGGGCAGCTTGACCTCTTTTTCTGATGAAAAGTAGTTTTCATTGTTATCTTTATTTAGGGAGTGGGAGAGATGATTCACTGCTAGTTATCATAATTAATTTAGAATACAGAAACTAACCGATTTCTTTAATAAGTACGCTGTTGTTATTAATAAGACTAAAATCATCGGAGTTGGGTGGATGAGCTAACAGGTTATCTTTTAGGTTCTAGGACCGTGGAGGATGCTTTCCTCTCACTTATTCCTGAGGATTCTTAAGATGTTATTTGCTTGTTTGATATTCCCCCTTTTCTCAATTCTTTGTACCAGGAGTATGTTAATTCCAGGGAGATGAAAACTTTATTAAGGGAAAAGAGTGTGATTGTGTTGGAGCAATTGATTATCCACTTAGAAAGACTGAAGAGACCCCCATGCTCACACCACACCCGGAAATAAATTCTAGGTGGTTTAAAACTGCATCTAAAAACAAAGCGGTTATAAAATAGGAGAAAATACTAGAAAGCATTCCCCTTACTTCGTGCAGAGGAGGGACTTACTAAGCAACATATAAGACCTAGGAGCACAAAAAAATTTGACAAATTTGATTACGTAAAGAAATGTCATTTAAAAATTATATAAAGAATTCTTGATTACATATAGAATTTAACTTTTGCATGTATAGATCATATACAAACTTACAAGTAACAAGCTGGGAAAATATTTCCAGTACATGTCACAAAGACTTTATATTCAGAATAAGGCAATGATGACAATTAAATGAATACCACCTGAGAGAAGCTTTGATAAAGTATGTGGCTGTTCACAGGACACATACAAATGGCATGTCCTCACTAATTGTCAGGGACACATGTAGTAAAACACTAACACACTAACTGGAAGACCATTTGACAGTATATACCAGCATTTTAAGTGTGCATATCATTGGAACAACAGCTCTGATTGTCGGAGTTCATACTAAATAAATTTCCACAGGTCTGCAAAGATGTGCACTAAAAATAACAGCAGTGGCTAACAGTTATTAGGCATTGTCTATTAAGCCAGGCATGTTTTTAGTACTTTCAAGTTTTAACTCTCCCTGTCCTCCCAACCTGTACTAGGTCCTATTATTTTCCTTAATTAATAGACCAGGGAACCAAGGCACAGAGTACATTTAAGTAACTTGTCAAAGCACCAAGAGCTGGTGGAGCCAGCATCTGAACCCAGGCAGCGTGACTCTAGAGCCTGTACTCCAGTCCTCTCGTGCTTAGGAGTGTTTTGTAGCCATAAGAAGATTGAAGTTGACTTGTATTTGTTGACATGGGAATCTCTCATGACAAGGTTTAAAGATACTTCAGAAAAGCAAGGAAAAACCTACTATGTAGTGTATGGTTCAGTTTAGGTTTTAAAAAAATGTATGTGTATGAGCTTGGATGTGTAAGTGTGCGCATTTGGCCATACACATAGGTACATACATACATACATACATACATATTATATATATATATATATATGGTGCAAATGAATTTTAAAATCTGATAATAAACACGCAGGTATAGCCAGCTAGTTTTACTGGGGAAAGGTCCAGAAGTAGGAGCCATAAAGGAAGACTTTAATTCAGTGTCCATACACACTATAAATCAGTATGGCCTGAGTCTTTTCCAATGATAATGTATTCATACACTATTATACTTTAAAAATATCAAAGAATTGAAGAGAAAATTGGTAAGTTTATTCAACAGCAGCAGTTCATGGAGCCGCTGCTTCCCCAAAGCACGTAAGCGATACAGTATATCTGTTGTAAGGAGATGCATGTGTTTATGTAAAACTATAGGATTTTAGAGTTTAGGGAATTTCAGAAATTAATATCAAGCCAAGAGAGGTTCTGTGATGTACAGATTGTTAATGAGCGATCCTGGATTATGACACATCTTCTAATGCCCCTTCTTAGTATTTCTTCTGTCGTATCTTGCAGAGTATTTGTGAAAACGTTCCCTACAATCGTATGAATTGTGTGGCTTTCTGTCTTCTCCATAAGTACCTATAAATGTCTGTCAAAATAATTTTCCCTTGAAGGTTCTTGTGATCTGAATCAGTTGATATCATTCTCTTCATGCTTTTGATCTTGTAATATATAGGAACTCAGGCTGTGCTTGAAATAAGATTTGGAAATATAGTTACTTGCTTTCCCATGTAGATTGAACTCTGAATGATTTTATTTGTGAGTAGAACATACTGTTGTATCTAAATGATCTCATGTACAGTATATTGTATGAGGATAACTCAGTAGACATGAGATGTTTGATTGCAGGAAATGTATTGAAAAGCGTTTATAAAGATAAAGGTAGACAGAGCAACAGCTAAGTGAAGAAATTGTATGTTTGCTAATGCTTTTTAAGTAAGATATAGTTATGTTGTGTTTTGTTTTTTCACTAAATAGTCATTCATTAAGAAAGGATCTTATAAAATACACTGATGTAATTCTGGCCACAATTTTTAATTTTTTATTCTTTAATCATCAGGATGTTACCGAAAATTCTTCAGATCCAGTACTGGATCTGCACATGTCCTTGGAGGAGCTGTACACCCAGAATCTCCTGCACAGACAGAATGACAGTCCACCTTCAGTGGACTTGAGCATAGGACCTGCTTCTGGCTTCATGGAAAATGATTATACACCTGCAAATGCTATTGAACAAAAATATGAATGTGAAAACACAAGAGCATGGACCGAATCTCACCTACCAAATGAAGTTGTATCAAGTGCAGAATGTTCTTCTCTTCTGCTGTCGGATTCAGCTGGAAAGGTAATAAAGATGTGGTGTATGTGTTACAGTGAGGTCGGGGACTGAAGCGTTCTGGCCAATCTCCCATTTGGAATTAGTGTTCTCCTGATGCTGAGGTTTTTTCAGAAGCCAATCTATGGACTTGTTTTGGTCAGAGGTTCTTGTCGAATAAGGCACGATCTATTAGAGAACATGTGTGATGTTGAAACCATACTCCAAAGTCTAGTTTTCCTTTTCACGTGACTTATTTTTCTTTCTGTCAGGGCTCTGAGTTCTTAAATCAACAGAGCTCTCTGGCCTCTACTGCCGAGTGTGTCATGCTTCAGAATGTATCCAGAGAAACTCTTGAGAGGACTATTACTATAGCAAAAGGCAATTCTAGCCTAGGTAAGTGCCTTATTTTCCACACATACCTTCCCAACCAACTCCCTTGCCAAGAGGAAAAATTAAACCTGGTTTTGATATTTTTGGCTGTAGATAAGAAAACAGGTGTTGTAAATTTTTCTGTACTTTTAATGGTTTCTCGTTTTATGTACTCACTATTTTTCCTGAAATGGTTAACTGGTTTGTTTAGTTCAGACCAGCTTAGATTCCTCACTCTCTTAATTACTTAAAAGTATTCAGTAGCCTCATTCACGTTCAAGTAAAAGATATACGAATCGTTTGTGTATGAAACAGCAAATCAGAAAAGGAATTCTTAGAAAATGAAAAGTCAGCAATTTGGAGTTCTAAATTCTTTGGAAAGGCAAATTATTAGCTTTTTTTGAATGTTACCAGTTATGCATAAAGTCAGTTTGTACTTAATTTCTTTCATTCACTGAAAGAAAGACTAAAAAGACAGCCAGGTGTGCCACCACCAAAATATAAATGCGAGTTATAATAGTCCTTCCCAGGTGGCAGGATTTTTGTGTCCTTTCTTACCCATAAAGGGTTGCGGCTAGTTAATAATCATAAAGCCTTCAGAGTTGGGCAAAGAAGACTTCCTGTAAAAATGAAATCCTAATTTCAATAACTAAAGCTATATTGAGGCAGAGCACGTTTGTTCTTTTTTTTCTTTTTTTTGAGTTAAACAGCCATGTGACTCAGCTCTGTCCCTAGTGCTGTCTGATGATAAAAGTAGGATGTTAGAACAGGTGCTCTGAATGCGGAGTGTTGTCCAGGCCTCTGGGTAGCTCTGCATCCGAGATCTTGTTCCTTCTGTGAGACCAACCAGTACCCTTTACACTCATATTTTATGGCAGGGTCTTGTTTCCTTGTTAAATTTGAGACTTGGCAGAGAAGTCCAACAGGGCTCACGTGGTGAGTGGGATTCTAGTCTCTGTCTCATTCTAGATTTTGTTCCATTTGGTGGTGGCTGGGCACTGCCAACGGCAGCTGAGTGGGGACTTATAGCAGAGAATTTTTACATAGATGTAATATTTCTTATATATTACACTTAATTGAATGGTGTAAAACATGAGCTACAGAACTTTCTATAATTCACTAATTATGAGACATATTATGGATATCAGAGCATGCCAGGAATATTTCACCTGCTAATGCAGTGTTTCTGAAAGCATGCAACTTAGAATACTAGTTCTATAGGATGTAAGTAGGAGTTATAAATGGGTTCCAAGTTTAAAAGTTTGAAAAGTGATGAATTTAAGGAGACAGGTTTCTGTTTGCACTGCATCGCAGTATCTTTCATACTCAGATATGCGTGCGGCTGTTTAAGAAGAGGTTATAGAATGCAGCGTTTCTCACATTTAATTGGCCATAGAACCCGTTTTTTTGACCAACTCATAAAACAGAGGTTTTGTAAGGCTCTTACGAGAAACCCTATTCTAGTGTATTCACCCAGCTATCAAACTTTCATTTTTTTCTGTATTCTAGCCACTGTGTAGAGACACCATGATGTAATCACTTTTCTCAAGGAACACGAGTTTAAGAAAACTAGCTAACTGACACATAAAGTCCTGATTGCATTACATACTGTGATAGACACTGATACATAGAACATCGAAGGCTTAAAAGAGAGACTAGCTGATCCCCTACCCTCAGAAAAAGTTTTTATAAATACCTTTATAGCTTTACATCTCTTTACCTGGTTTAGTTATATAATCTTGTTTTGGAAGGAACTTTTATCACTCGATTTAAAGTGAATTAATGTTGTTTTATGTAAAGTGTTAACATAATCTAAAAGGTTTTATATTTTTGAAGGAATCGAGTGAGAGGAGGAAAAGGGAATGTAAATTGGGGTGAGGTTTGTTGTGAACACCTTTTTGAGGAGGTGATATTGAAGACGGAGGAGTTAGCTGTGCAGGGGCTGCTGAGAGGGGCCAGCTGTCTGAAATGGGGGGAGACTCGGTGAATTTCTGGAACACGGTTGTGGGAACACGGGGAGCCATAGGGAACCTTGAACAAGGGGTGCAACTGCGCCACATAGGCGTGTTGTATGTTAGCGTAACAGGAAGTTGTTAAAGGGCTGTTGGCAGGGAGTAATGTGAGGTGATTTGTCTTTTTTTAATGATCCCTCTGTCTCCTGTAAGAAGAATGTCCTGGGAGCCAGGAAACCAAGTAGTAGGCTGTTTTGAAAAGTGAGGCAAGAGAAGGTGCTAGCCTAGTCTAGGGTTAATAAGGAAGTGGAGAAAGATGCATGGATTCAAGACAAGTTTTGGAGGTAGGAATAACAGGACTTGGTGATGGATTAAATAGTAGAGGTGAGAAAGAGGTAGGGATCGAGAATGAACTTCAGCATATCTGCCTTGAGCAATGGAGATTAGTATTGTGGTGTCAACACCAAAAAGGGAAAGACAGATGGAGAAATAAGGGGAGGTAGAAACTTGGAAATTCCATTTTATACATGCCAAGGTTGCATTTCTTGTTAGTCATACAGGGAACATGTCAGGAGGGCGATTAAATATCCAAATCTGGAGCTTCTAGAAGTTCAAGTTTGTAGATAAAATGGGAGTAGATTAGGATTAAGTTCATATTGGTGTAGTTCAACAGACTGCTCTACATTCAGGCACTGTAACAGGCTTAAGGATAAGATGAATACAAGCTTCTCGATGTTAGGAATTCTGTGTGAGGCTTTTTCATCTCAAGCCACCAGCATAGTACTTGGCACACAGTAAGCATCTAGTAAGTATATACTAAATGAACAAATGATTTGGAATAGTTGTAGCACTGAGTTTCTTAATTTATTGAACTAATTTTCCATTCATGGTCCTGCTCTTTATTCTCTTATACATATGGGATGGACTCCTATTATAAAATTGATTTGATGTTGTCAGAATGTTCTCCCTGGGAGAGCTTTCTGTGTAAGGGGTAACACATCAAATAGCCTAAGTTACATTCACTCCGGTGTGGACCCGTTTAGTCTCTAATGTATTCTACATGGAGTGCCTTTGTCTAGATAAATTTCACAAACATTTCAAAATTTACTTTAAAATATTTTTTGTTAGAAACTTCAATTCCTTTCATTTTGATTGTTTTTTATTGGCTTGAAAAGTGTGTTCTAATTCATAGGGATTATGTGACTTTCAAATTAAAATGAATTTGAAATTCACAAATTTAACCCCTTTCTGTGTTCCTCCATTACCCTAGGGATGACAGTAAGTGCTAATAAAGATGGCTTGGGGGTGATTGTTCGGAGCATTATTCACGGAGGTGCCATTAGTCGAGATGGGCGGATTGCCGTGGGGGACTGCATCTTGTCTATCAATGAAGAATCCACTATCAGTTTGACCAGCGCCCAGGCACGAGCCATGTTGAGAAGACATTCCCTCATTGGGCCTGACATAAAGTAAGTATCATGTGGACCCCAGTTTGGCTTGTGAAATTCAAATCATCAATCAGTGTTGGTATGGGTTTTTTTTGAGAATATATTTCTGTTTGATATACAAAAATTACATATCTCTTTCATATAAGTCACGTAAGAATTTGACTAGTCCTGAATAGTTCTTGATCTTAGCTCGTCTTTTAAGATAACAAGGCGCGTGTGCCTGTTACTCTCCGCGCCTGGAGGGGCGGCTGTCTGCAGGGAGGTGCCGCCCCTCCTGCGGGGCAGCTGTGGGGTGGGGACACGGCGCTGTGGGGGAAGGCTGCAGGTCACGGTGGACAGCAGAAGCTCGAAGGCGGCCCCTGAGGGGCGGGTTCCAGAGAGGACGTGCAGTGGTCCTAATGAAGGACAGACATGGGTAGCCGCAGGCCGCTATAGCAAGGTGGTGCCGGAGCAGCCACATGCTGCACATGTTCCCCGGCTCCCGGGGAAGCTGCAGGGCAGCTGTGCCCGGGCGAGTTGCCATGTTCAGGCACATCCCCGTGTTTGAGAGCGGCGTCATCCCGATCAGCAAAAGGGGAGGAGTGATCAACGTGCACATCAGTTTGCAAATAGTCACAGTGGGCGTCGCGTGCACCAGCCCGACCTCACCATACCTGATGTCATGCTGCCGGCAGCCATGCATTTGGTGCCAAACATGTGACTACACCCAGGTCACTCAAGGCAGCCAAGAGCTTGGAGCTGACCAGGTTGCTTCCCTTGAAGTTTGTAAAGTTGTCCGTCTAGAGCAAGAATGGGGAACCTTTTTTCTGCCAAAGGCCATTTGGATATTTATAGCATCATTTGCGGGCCATACAAAATTATCAACTTAAAAATTAGCTATGAAAAAAGCTCCTAGATTTATTGAATTTTGAGTCCCACTTGCAGTTGCCTTGGCAGGGCCGGACCACGGGGCTGGATGTTCCCCACCCCTGATCTAGAATCATGAGAGAAAACAGCTCCACTTGATGCTTGCCACTGGCTGCTCTATTTACCTGCAATTATGCCGCCCTTCAGATGCAAAGGAAAACCCGTTTGCTCACTGGGAAGACCTGGTGTTCTTCCTGAGACCCCCAGTGGAGGCTTACAGCGGCACCCATGCTGTACCGTGACGTGATAGACATACCTTGTTGGAGGCAGAGAATGGAAAGAGCCCAGTGACCAGGACCAGGTCAGCACCAGGAGCCTTCCCCTGGTCGCTGAGGTGTTTGGGGCCACCTCTCTTGCTTATGCTGGTGGGGAAAGAGTCCAACAACATGCTTCATGCAAATACGAAAATACTCTGTTAGTCTTTCCTAACCCGGCCCGGGCAGGGCCTGACCAGAGCGCAGCTTCAGGGGCAGCAACGCTAACACCTGAGGGCAGTGTAAGCGTGGTTGCAGGGAGGTGACGGGCAGACCCGCTCCGGAGACCTTGGGAGGTCCAGGCGCTGGGCCCCTCGTCTCAGCCTGGCAGAGCAAAGACAATGTGAGTGAACAGAAAGGAGACCAGAGAGTCTCCCAGCACCAGGCTGAACCCCTTCGCAAGAGAAAGGAAACAGAAAACTCCCACCAAAAGGCCTTCCCATTCTGGTAGGAAGTGTGAGGACAAGTCAGCCCCAAGATCCCATGGAACCACCCAGGGAGATCTAAGGAGAAGGACCGGAGCAGCCCAGGGGCCAAGGACATGGCTCCCCCTCCCAGGAACACAGCAGCCTCAGCGTCGCCCAAAAGGGTTCTAGGTTATGTCAGAAATCAAGGAGGAGCTGATCTAAAAGATTTGGCGGGGGGAGCATAATCAGGAGATCTGTTCCCTTGTCCCTCCCCCATTCTGCAGCTCTGTGAGTCTAGGAGGAAACCCTCTAGTTGTTCCTGGAATGTGTGCACATCGACTAGAATGGATCTCCAGGGTTAGGATCCACCCACCTCTTTCAAGATGGAGAAACCACTTTTCTTAAGTAGGTCAATTTCCTGTCTTGAAACAAATAAATGCCTGCTATTAAAAAAAAAAAAAAAAAAAAA